GACCAGCTGCCCACTTCACTGGCACCGACCAGGGTGGCCGTGCCAGGACCATACACCATGGTTTCTTTTGAGTTGCAGTGGCACCGCAGGCCCACATAAATGAGAATGGCCAGCAGGAACAGGCTGGAAACAGAGCAGATGGCAATGATCAGGTACACATTGATCGAGTCCACCAGGGGCATGAAATTCTCCCTTGATCTGGGGAGGTGAATATCAGTTTTGATGGCCTGGGCATTTGTCACAAGTGACACACTCAGGGTGGCTGTAGTTGAGAGTTGAGGCTTCCCATGATCCTTCACCAGAACCAGCAGAGTCTGGCTTTTGCTTCCTTCTGCCTCATCCAGAGAATATTTAGTGCTCACCTCACCACTATACTGCCCTACAGCCCACAGCCCACTACTTTCTTCAACCAGCTCATATCTTAGCCATGCATTGTATCCAGAGTCTGCATCCAAGGCATGAATCTTGCCTACTATATGCCCAGGCATCACTGGAACCACTAAAAGAATGGAATTCTCTTCTGATGATGCTGACACAGCAGGTGCATTGTCATTCTCATCTATCACAAAGACTTGAACAGTTGCATTGCCACATAAGGAGGGCAGTCCAGCATCCTTGGCTCTCACCTGGAACTCCAGCAGTTTCAACTCCTCATAGTCCAAAGGTTGCAAAGCATAGAGCTTCCCACTCTCTGAATGTACAGAGATGTAGCTGGACAATGGCCACAGCTTCTCATCTATCCAGTAGGTGATCAGGGCATTCTCAGCTACATCTGGGTCTGAGGCAGATACTGTGAAGATGTGAGCACCGGGGGGATTGTTCTCTTTCACAAAGACTGTGTAGGAGGGCTGTGTGAATGCTGGAGAATTATCATTTAGGTCACTGATAGGCACAAAGAGGCTGATGCTAGAAGATAGTGGTGGAATGCCTTGATCTTGCACTGTCACAAGAATCTTGTACTCAGCTACCTGCTCCCGATCTAGAGGTATATCAACAATCAGGGAGTAGTAGTACTTGAATGTGGACTCGAGTCTGAAGGGTAGCCCAATGGGCAGAAGAAAACAGCTTACTTGTCCATTGATCCCAGAATCTTTGTCTGAAACACTGAGTATTGCTACTACAGTCCCTGATGGTGAGTTTTCAACAACAGGCATTGAGAGGGAACTCACTGACACTTCAGGAGTATTGTCATTTGTATCCAGAACTTCAACAAGAACTTTACAATGCCCAGACAATGGAAAATTCCCTTTATCTTCTGCAACAATTTGTAGTTCATAAAAATTAATGTCTTCATAATCCAATTTTCCAATCACTCTGATTTCTCCAGTATCAGAATTTATACTAAATATCTTTGTGACATGTAGAGGGACACTATTACTAAAATAATAATGGATTTCCCTATTGATCCCTTCATCTAAGTCTGTAGCATTCAGATTAATAACTAATGTCCCACTAGATGTATTTTCAGGAACCTTTATCCTGTAAAGGGATTGATTAAATACAGGAGGGTTGTCATTTACATCCAGCACATTGATCACTAGTTGAATAACCCCAGTGAGCTTTGGTTCACCACTATCAGTAGCTGTCAGTATTAAATGATGCACAGGGCTCTCTTCTCTGTCAAGTGGAATCTTTAATACAAGTACTACAGATTTACTCTCATCTTCATCACTTCCTGAATCAAGAATGAAATGGTCATTTCGGTTAAGTTTGTATGTTAACAGAGCATTAGTACCAATATCTGCATCAGAAGCTCCCACTAAGGGGAATCGGGTACCAGCTGCTATTACAAATTCACCTATGCTGAGAATTTGTTCCCTGGCAGGGAAGAAAGGAGCATTGTCATTAATGTCTTTGATTTCAACCTCCACATGGAAGAACCTTAGAGGTGTCTCTACAATCACCTCCAGATGAACAACACAGTCAGGATTCTTGGCGCACAACTCCTCCCTGTCTATCCGGGAATTTACAAACAAGATCCCATTCTGCGCGTTTACCTCAAAATAGTCCTTCCCTCCTTTGGACAGCATCCGGAACATCCTAGGGACAAGATCGCTCACCTCCAACCCCAGATCTTGGGCGATGCGGCCCACGAAGGTGCCGTGCTGGGATTCCTCCAGCACAGAATAATGGAGCTGGCCGCTCCCCATTTTCCAAGCGGTGTGGAGCAGAATCAGCTGCAGCAGTCCCTTCCGCCAGGTAAGCATTGCAAACACAGGCACAACGCCACAGTCTCTTCTCTTTTTCCCTAGATACCTTGCCTTAAAGGTGTCAGGAGCAGAGTCCATGTACCTCATCCATACTTGCAATTCTTTCATCGATTGAATCTTGGCTTATTGAGTTCCTCAGTTGTTTGATGTTCCCATTGTGGATCTGACTGGCAGGAATCTCGGTCCCTTTAAGGGAGGAGCTTCGGATTTTCAGTTTCATTTAATGGTTTCCTTAGGAAACAGTGACCTCTTGTGACTGAATTTCAAAATGGAGAAACAGACTTTCATTCTGTATTTATGACAGATTTGTAATTCACATCCAGTCTTCATGCTCAGATACATATACTTTTTCTATACAGTTCTTGAGTTGATTCCTCTCCATACAAATAAAAATACCAACACATAAATATGGAGTGAATTAAATAATGTGTATTTATTAAAGGAATGACTAAATGTTATGTTAATCAATTCCATATATTTATGGGTTGGAATTTTTATTTGTATGGAGAGGAGATGTGTAACTGTCTTTACCTCACACCATTTCTTCCATTGCTCAAAGAGGTGATTATGATACCATTGAGAGGAAGGTGAATTGGCTTCAAACCATTTGAACTAGGTTTATGATCAAGATGAGGAGCTATGCAATGTTAAGGCCAAAGAGGTAAGTAAAAGGTAGAAGAAAATGCTATTAAATTTGAAAATCTCCCCTGGTTACTTTTCTACTTCTTGGCTAGGGTATGACAGCTCTTAACCCAAATCTGTCTGAGACTTGTCTAACCATAGGAATTAATTCCCTTCTGTCTTGCCCGAATAATGTCAATGATACAGCGCAAAAGTAAGTATCTGATAATCCATAGGGATCTAGTATGCTAGCAAATGATAGCATTTGTTATTACATAAGCTGACATGGATTGCAATCCATTTCATCAGATTCATAGTATATATTCCTGTGTGAGGACTGTTATATTTCAGGACTACTGATGCTTCTGAAATGATTGGAAAGAAGTGCTGTGGACCTCACATGAGCACAGTGCCTCTCACTATTATTAAAGTAACTTCTCTTTTTTCAGGCTTCCTTGTGAGTTCAAAAAAAGATACAGCTGTTTCTAGTGTTACATTACTGATGTAGCCGTTTTAATGAGTCAATTCTTCAGTGAGTTTTTGTTGCTTGAAAGAGCTTTATGGATAACAATACAGGAGTGGGATGGCATTAAGCCTATGCTGAATTTAAAGTTGTATGCACAAATATTGGCTAAATGTAATTGATTGCTTGGTACTACTTTGCAGAAGAATAATTGGCTTTTTTAACATCTCAGTCTATAGTTTTCCATATATGTTCCTCATCCTGAAAGCAGACTGGATTACAAAAACTTCAGAAATTGTTGGGTCACACAACATGAAAGCTAAAAAGGCAACCAGCAACATGTTTTGTGACTGTGATTGTGTGACACAGTTCCCTTACTATCTGATTTGAACCTAGTGGTATTTGAAGAAAAGGAATCCAAAAAATATTAAAATCATTTTGTAGCAATGGTTAGTTTTACAATATTATTCATTATCAGGATGCTTATCATAATAAAGTGAATAACTATTTTGATTTGATATTGGAAGTAATAATTCTGGAAAAAATTATGGACATTGGGGAATTCCACACAGAGAAAGTTTTAATCAACTTATTGAGGAGGAAATCAAATTGAGTACTTTTACTACTAAACAATTATGCATAGGATTGTGGGACTTAACTCTAATGAAACACTTTGAGGAAATTAGTACAATTTGGATTTACCTAGTTAACTAATTCATTTTCCATATTTTGAAGATAGTCAAGGATTCATAGCAATGCTACAGATTTTTAAAATACTTGCAGAGAATAGCAAATAAATTACCTTTCTTAATTTGTTTTTTAATTTTGTTTAAGCTTCCTAGCAGAAAATATGTATGTATACCATATGCATTCTTTCCTTTTCTCTTATCCCTTCTCCCCTCTCCTCCCATCCCACTGCAACTGATGATATCATGCCAGATGATAGGCCTGCTCAGGTTAGATGGCACTCAACATGTTACTAACGAAAAGCAGAGAACTTTTTGGAATACTAATGGTGTTTATGACGTGGCTAGATTAAAGCCTTCAGGATCTTTGGCTGCTGATGTTGCTATGCAGGAAAAGAAAATCTGAAGTTTCAAAGACAGAATTACAGTGGAAACATGGAAAGTAAGAAGCATGAACATGGGAAACCTCAACAGAGTGAAAGATGAAATGATATTCTTTCTATCCTGTTTTTTCAAAGTCTGATTTTCACTTCTATAGATTGTCACAGGGAATACCATTGCCTGCAAGATTCTGATCTTTGTAGGTATAGACACATCATTGCACCTGAATATCTTTTCCAAGGCCTTCATGGCTACTCTACTGAGTGCTAGTCTGTGGTGTACTTCTTGACTGCTTGTTCCTTTATTGTTGATGGTTGATCCTAAAAGACAGAAGATATCCATCACTTCAATATCTTCATAGTCAATTCTAAGACTGATTGTTGTACCAGTTGTCATTAGTTTACTCTTCTTTATATTTAATTTCAGCCCCATTTTTTCACTATGCTCCTTGACTTTTATTACTAGACCTTCCAGATCCTTTGCATTTTCAGCTATTAGAGTAGTGCCATCAGCATAGCACAGATTATTGATGTTCCTTCCTCCAATTTTAAAACCACACTCATCTTCTTCCAATCCAGCTTCCCTTAATATATATTCCTCAGATTGAATAAATAGAGAGCATACACTCTTGTTTCACTTCTATGGAACCTGGAGTCTGTTTCACCATATTCTGTCCATACTGTGGCTTCTTAACCTACATATAGGTTTTGCAAGAGGACAATGAAATGTTCTGGGATTCCCGTTTTTCTAAGCACATTCCACAGTTTGATGTGATCAACACAATGAAAGGCCTTTCTTTAATCAATGAAGCACATATACATTTTGACTTTCTCAATTATCCAGTGTGCACCAGCAATAATATCTCATGTTCCTTAGCCTTTTCTAAAGTCAGCTTGAGCATCCAGCATCTCCTTTTCCATATAGGGTCTAATCTGCACTGGATAATCCTAAGCATTATTTTGCTAGCATGTGAAATTAAGGATATTGTATGATAGTTTGCACACACTGCTAAATTTCCTTTCTTTGGTATTAGTATGCAGATTAACCTCTTCCAATTTGTTGGCCACTGTATTGTTCTCCAGATTTGCTGGCATAACATGGTTAGAAATTTTACTGATTCTTCTTCTGCTGCTTGCCATATTTCTGTGGATGTTCCATCAGTTCCCATAGCTTTCCAACTTGTTAATGACCAGAGTGCTGATCTAATGTCTTCCTCAGCCCATATTTAACTAGCTTATTAATCAGATTGTTATGTGGTACTTTGTCAACTGCTTTGCTGAAATCAGTGTACATTATCCCCACAACATTCCCACAATCAGGCTACAGCAGGTGGCAGCACCTAGCTGACCTTGCTTGGTCCCAAAAAATGAATCAAACTGCTTTGAGTACTTTGGAGGGGGACTAACCCAGGGCTGTAGGGTCAATTGGAGAATTGAAAACATATCTCAGAAGAAGGCAGTAACGAAGCACTTCTGCATTGCTACAAGAAAATTTCATGGACATATCCATGTACTCACCAGGAAGTGACCTCAACTTAAGAGAATCATTAACTGTTCTCACCAATCTACTGAGGATGTTACCAGTGCAAAATAATGAAAAATTAATCTGGAAAATTTTGTTCTTGAAAAATCTATTCAAATTTATAGTAATCATTGCAGGTTACAGATCAATCACTTTACAAGTTGCTCTAGACAAATGTTTCTCAGCCTCAGCAAGTTTCAGATGTGTGGACTTCAACTCCCAGAATTCCCCTGCCAGTCTGCCCATTATTGAGAATACTGAGAGCTGAAGCCCACATATCTGGAAGCTGCTAAGGTTGGGAAACATTGCTCTAATATTTGACAGATGTTAAAGTCAGATACTGGTGACACCAACAAATATTAATATTAGGCTACCTTACCAGCAGTTGCCAAATCCTGGGTTGTTGTTGTTTTTTGGAAGATAGGGACATTTTTCTCCCCAAAACTTATATGTCAATCAGCTTCAACTAGATATGATAAACTTATATGGCCCCTTAAAATACTGTATATGGTAAGTAGACCCCATGTTGAGCTGTTTGAATTAACAGAATTAATTTTTTGTTTCTGGGGGAAAAAGCCTCTCCCATATAACATATTATGCATGATAATTAGTCAGAGCACTTATCAGCACTTTTAGGAAGATGGGTACAGCCACCAGACAGAGGCTACATCAAGAACTCAAATTTAGTTTCCTTAAAATCAGAACTCCAGCATTAAATGGAGGCCATCTCAGGGGTGGCAGTGGAATCCCCCAGGCTTATGGTTCTTGGAGGCAGCCATGGGCCTGATTCAGATTATTCGGGACCCAACTCGAGACAGTGGACTCACACCGGATTTAGTTTTCTTGTCGGAGCAGTGGCAACGGGACTTGAGGGGAGAGTTACATCTTTCCCCGTTGCCATGGTCAGATCACGCCCTGGTGGCCTTGAGGTTCTCGCATGTCACCCCCCTCCGCAGGGAGGCAGGACTTATTCAATCGGTCCGCCACCGGCGACTGATGGACCCGTTAGGGTTTCAGAAGGAGCTGGGGGTTATCCCTGAGGTCTTGCTGCACGGTCCAGCGGAGGCTCTGGCTGCTGCCTGGAATAGGGCAATGGCCGGGGCCTTGGACAGGATCGTGCCTCGGCCTCTCTTGCCCATTCAGGCCCGTCGCTCCCCATGGTTTACAGAGGAGCTGAGGGTTCTGAAGAGGGCTAAGAGACTCCTGGAGTGCCACTGGAAGAAGACAAGGACCGAACCCAACCAAACACAAGCTAGAGCTGCGGTTAAGGCCTACCTTGTAGCAGTAAGAGCGGTGAAGTGTCAGTATTTCTCTGCTCTTATTGCATCTGCAGAATGCCACCCAGAGAGAATCACCCAATCCCTGTTGGGGAGAGGGGGTTCAGAAAACCATCTACAGGGCCGTGCTGAGGAATTTTCTGAGCATCTGCAGGATAAAGTCACTTGGATCCACTCTAAGTTGGATGCCAAGCATGAGGCATGGTCTGAAGAGATGCCTGGGGAATGTCTTTGCTGAGTTATCTGGGACCAGTTTGATCCTGTTGGTCCTGAGGAAGTGGACAGGATCCTCCGGACTGTAAATTCCACCACACGCCCTTGAGACCCATGCCCGTCCTGGCGGGTGAGGGCGGCCAGGGAGGGGATGTGTGATTGGGTCCTAGCGATGGTTAATACA